CAAGTTTTTATTAACAGATGTTGTATCTTAGGTCTGTTTTATCTATAAGCAGCTGCTCATACAGATGTGCACTTTTCACATTTATAAGCTTTATTTGATCTGTAATTCTGCAGCCAGACTTTTATCTTCAACAAAAGGAAGCGTTGACCTCAGGTCCATCTCAAAGTCTTTGCACATGTTGCCGGTTCACTGGCATCACAGGACTTAATGACTGCAGGCCTGTTGCTCTGATGTCTGTGGTCATAAAGTCTTTTGAGCATCCTTGAGATAAAAAGAATCACATCATATTGTGCAAACGGGTGAGGAACGGATGCTTCTCTGAACTCAAATGATTACGTCTCAACTGATCCATCTGTGAAACCCCTCAAGTTTGCAGATGCCACCACTGTAATTAGTCTTGTAAAATACCAAATCTGCCTACAGACAAGTAATGAACTGGCTATTCCAAACCACCCAGCAGCGACTAAACAGTAGCAGCCATTCAAAATGGTCCATCACAGTCGAATACCAGCCTAATACCAGCCCACTTCCCTTCAACTCCCTACTACTGTAGCTACTGGAGTGACCCCCTCTTGCATATTTATTAGTGTTGCACCAATACCGATACCAGTATTGGACGGGGCCCCGGTACTGCCCTAAAATGGTGGTATAGGTATCGGCGAGTACCAACAAATAGGGCACCGATACCATTTTGAGAGCCATACGTTTATTCAGCTATTGTCACCCATTCCAGGTAGGCAATAAAAAGTTCTACTGGATTCACTTTGTATTAGATTTTTACCTGCTTCACAAAGGTAGGCAGCAGCTTGACAAAGCCATGATGGCAATTATTTTACATTATTATGGTATCGGTATTGGCCGATACTGCACAGCCAGGTATCGGGGCCAAAAAATGGCATTGGCGCAACACTAATATTTATTTACTCTGACTCCACCCTTTCACTAAATTACAGGGTCTGACCAGAAGATGACGCTTCTCTTAATGTCCACAAATCATGACAGAATATTTTAGTACAAATATTGATGTTTAAAAGGAACTGAAGAGGGCCCAGCCAAAGGCCCATCAAGGAAAGTGGGGACATTTTGAATGGCTACTACTGTACCTGCTATGGCCACTCAGTAAGTACTAAGTCTGTTTTGTGTTCATCCATCCCTCTCTGTGAAGTGATCATCCCTCCTTTCATGACCTTCAAAAGTCTAGGGCCAGATAAAGAGCATCTAACATCACTGCAGACCCCACACATCCTGGACGAAGCCTCTTCAAAGTGTTAGGTTTATTATTTATACATAATGTGCATTGTTATTCTGTTAGCCAGATTAGACAGAGTAGAAGGCCTTCCTTCACATTGTGGATGTCACTGTGTGTACGGAGGTCATCTAATCAGGACAGCCTTCGTGTCTTTAAAAATACACAGGATATGGGAACATCTTGGAGCCGGTCTGATAGAGGAGAGCTATCTGTAACCCTGAAGCATAGAAGCAAGCTGCATGAAGTTCAAGACATGGATGGCGTGTCAGTTTCTGATAAGGACAGCTAAACATCAACATGATGCAACACATAGACTCATGAGCTATAAGAAGCAGGAGATGACCTTGTTTGGGGCTCAGTCTTTGCCGGACGCTCGTGGACGTAATTTTTGAGCCCACAGCTGTGCAAGCTCCAAGCATTTTCTCTGTCCTGTAACGACCTGATCTGGAATAAACTCTGTTATTTTTTACTCCTGTTTTATACAGTATTCCTTTTTATATGGTTTTACCCAGTTTGAGTTAAGAGTAGTAAATAACTTGCTCCCAGGAAAAGAACCGTGAGGAAGCCCCCGAGGCGCAACGGCTTTTTTAGGGGACATAACTTCCTCATTTTTTTTTTACAAAAGTCTTACTCTAACAATTTTAAAATCTTGCTTCCTCTTTTTATTTGACATTTTTCTCCCTGTAAGTTTGCTTTTACAGTGCAGGTGCTGTAGTGCTGCTAAGTATTTTGTGGGCAATGGAATACAGATGTGAAATTCATGGTTGAGGTTTCTTTTATTGGGATTTCATTTAGAAATTTTGACTTTCAGTGACCTGATTGGTCAAGTTTTTTACCAAGTAAAGCCACATAATGCAATTCCAAAAGGCATGTTTTCAAAACAACCTAATACTTGTAGTCCAAAGGACTACAAAAACTAAAGAGGCTCACTTTTGCAGCTGTCGCATCCCACGTTTTTGTCATGGTCTCTGGTGAAGAAGCAGCTTAACGACAGACATACATCATGTCTTGGATATGTCTTTATGTGGCGGTTTTTAAAGGTCAAACTTGTGCTGCAATCCACACCTTGTATATCCCTCAGCCATCACTGGACGAATGAACCTGGGTTCTCAGCATTGGGGTTGCACCTATAGCTTTGATGCCTTTTCTTACAACACTTTGCTGATTGAGCTTCTATTAATATACCTAGATTGAGCTCTCTCATTTTACGTCACTTACTCTCCTTGGGGGTTTTCTGTAGCAGCCTGTAGGATAAATGTCAAATCAGAGTTTTTACAATTCGTATATTTTTAAATAGGATAATATTAACATGAATAAAAAAATATTGGTTAAAGGTATTGTGGAGGATTTTCTAAAAGACCCGCCCTCTCAACTTAAGAAAAAGAAAATGAGCGTGCTAGAGCATGCACAAGCCTATTTCTCCTCGTGCATGTCCTGTTTAAAATGTGCAGTTCTCATAGCTCATACAAGCTAACTGACCGTTCAGACAGATGATCACTGCTTTCTGCTCCATTGGTCATGTAACTCTAGCCTCGTGAGACCATCCTGATCTTGCAAGCTTTCAAGATTTCACTCGCTAATCACTCTGGAGACTTCTTCATTGTATATTGTTAGAGTTAGTCTCTACCCCCATGGCCAGAGGTTAACTTTAAACTACTAACTGTAGTAGTGAAAATATAGCCTCGTGAGACCATCCTGATCTCGCGAGCTTTCAAGGTTTTACTCGCTAATCAGTCTGGAGACTCTCCTTTGAAGAAAATTTGGAGCCGTTCACCAAACGAACGTCCAATCAGCGTTGGCTTTGAGGCGGGTTGAGGTGTGACGCAACAAGAAGCGCGACAGTTCAGTCTAAAGAACATGGCGGCTTCAGCCGATGAAACTAGCGTTAGCGTGGCTATCGAGCAAGTTTTATCAGGATTACAGAGTATTTCTTCACTGAAAGAAGAGCAAAACACTGCTCTGGAGGCTTTTCTCAGGGGAAAAGATGTTTTTGCTCTTCTCCCGACTGGTTTCGGCAAGATTGCCTCCTCTTAATCGTCGCTCTGTTAGTACATCATATGCTTCGTTGATCTGACTGGTTTATTTGGCCCGTCTATCACCAACATAGGCCAATCAGCTAACCAGTATTTTCGCCCCTTCCCAAAATTACTTCAACGGAAGGTTTCCAGATCGATATGCGGAGTCAGGTTAATGTAACTCCTCCTTCTTAGTCGCCACTGCAGAATAGCGACAGCCTATGGAGACCACGGGCCGCTGTAACAGCAAATCCTATAATGCTTTTGTGAAGACATCCTTGCAAAGTATTCTGGAATATATCTGCTTCCTCTGATGACTTTCTTTTCTTCTCATACACTTCATAGACACATTTACTCTTACAACCCTCTGCTATTTTCAAAGAACTGGTAAAAAAGGTGAGCTTCAATGTCTGTGTGAACCCATAGCTCACCACACATATGCGGCTTAAAGTGTGCATGCGCAGGAAAAGATAGCTAACGGTTGCACACATAGGCCTTACGTCAACGTATCACCAGAACGATCCACAATTAGGAGGATGGGAGGAGATGATCCACCCAGAAATATCGTCCTCTACCCTTTAAATCTAAATGGAATGAAAAATACCAAATCTATATATGACTTTAATTTCCCCAAATTATTTCCAAAAGAATTAAGCTTACTGTGGAGATCCTACTATTTTAATATAAATGTGAATAGCACAAATAACACTGATGTAGTCAGTAATGTGCAAACAAAAGCTTTTAAAATGTTTTAGTTTGATCATATCAACATTTTTCATTTAGTTTTCCACATTATGCCAGAGATGACCCAGAGGGTTTCACTTTTTGGCAACAGAAATAATGATCATAACTACTAAAGCTGTGAATGTTAAAAAGAAAAGTATGCAAAAAGGATAATATCCTTTAAACAAACATCACAAGCTTTTATGTGATGTTTGCTTAAAGTGTGTGTCTTTTGGGACCCAACTGCCGACAGCAGGGTTAAAGGTGACCTTAAATGGCATCTTCCCATCAATGTCACCGCAATGACAAAAAGCAGCCAGTAACCAAGACGAGAAAGTGATTCATCATTTCTAACAGCCCGCAAGGGGCGACAAATTGGTTTGTAGATAATATGAAAGGGTTGGGGAGGGGGCAGTAATCTTGTTAGATGTCATCTCCGTTGATAAAACCTATATCCCAGGCAGGAAAATTTCCCCGAATCTTTGGTGTCATCTTTCTTCAGAAGACGGTTCATATATTAAGAAATAATCAAGCTTTAATTGATGAATAATACATCGAAATCACAATCCCAAGTTATCATCTGGCTTGTGCTTAAGGCTGGATTGTCTTTTTTGGGTGAGAGGGCAAGCAAGAAACCATTTGCAAAGCTCTGGGAGTTAACATGATGTCTCGTACCGTCCTAATATCCTCATAAGCAGCAGAGGCTGACCTTACTTAATGAGGATTAATGCAGGATCAGATTGGAGTTTGTGCCTATCGAGACACTCTTCTGCCTGCCCAATCCCACCTGCTCGTAATTGATTGCACTCATTGAGGGTCCATGTCCCTGTGCAACCTCTTTGGACATGTGTTAAATGCTGCTTGTATGAAAAATGAAATTAGGTTTCAGAGAGAGAGTGAGATCATTGAAAAAACAGAGAGCCCTGGAGAGTGGGAAGTAATGGAATATTGAACTTTGTTTTGACATGTGCCACCATCCTCTGAAGGATGGTGGCACATGTCACATCGTTTCAGTTCTTTGATTAGCATTATGTTGCCATGGGCAACTGAAAAATGAACAAAAGCAGGGCCGGTTAGCAGAAAGACCTTGTGTTTAAGACAAAAACACTGCTTTCCTGTAGCTTTCATGTAATTTCTAACTAGCTGTACTAATCCTTTAGCTGAAAACACTTAATTTTATGGTTTAACTGTAGAGACATTCAATGGGACTTGTTTTTTTTTTATATCAAACTTTCAACACCAAGAAAAATGAATCTAGAGCATCATAAAACGTTAAAACCACGCCTCTCATAAAAAAAAAAAGCTTCCGCAGAAAAGTGGAGAAATTCTTCTCTTTTCTCAGAGCCATGAAAATGACATATCCCCAGGTTTTTCATCCTGTTTTCTCTCTTCTTTCTCAGAGGATATGCTCCATATTCTGACTTTCCTCTTACATCTAAATATAAACTTTAACGTCTGAGTGCTGAGCAAAAACCAGATAAAAAAAAAAAGAATGTGCATGTCACCGAGACAAATAATTAACATTTGGAAATGGTTGGTCCCCTGGAATGTATATTAAAGCCAATCATTCACTAGGAACGATGAGATGGGCTGGGGGACTCGGTGGGAGTGGAGGAGGTTGTCTCGGTGGGGGCCACTAGTCATACCGGCCCTTCAGTCAAACCCTCCATAGGCAGGGTGGTGGCGTTTTCAATGGGCTGCGGGTCATCCTGGTGGGATGGGGGTGTTTTTCTGGTGGCAGCCAAGCTAGCATAAGGCAGGTGGCAGTCCGTGTGCAGGAAGGGTGGGTAGTGCTGCCGGTAGCTGATGTAAGCAAACAGCAAACCAATCACTCCTCCAACAAAGGCATCTGCAAAAACACACAATAATTTGCATGTTAAGGTCATGGTTCATAATCTGTGGTGCAAGTTCCTCTGATGGTATTTAACCTGCCTCCAGTAGTAGCTGGAAGAATTGTTCGAGTTAATTATTTGGAAGGTAATTACAAACAAGTAAAACTACATCAAAATGAAAAGCAATTCAATCTTTGCTTCAAAAGTAATTCTGGGCAATACCTCTTAGAAGGAAGACATGCATCATTTACCAAATAGTAAACTATCCATGCAGATTTTCATTTATCTCCAAAATTAGAAATTAGGTCCAATAATCAATTGAAAAACCAGCAGAATTTGTTAAATGTCTTACTCTCTTATCAGATCAGAAGGGTTAAGATTACATTCTAATAACAAAGGTAAAGGACTAGCCCCACTATTAGTGTAAACAGGCAATTTAACAGATATACCTGGGAGGAAATCTGACAATTTACATAGTGGCAACACGTAGGAAACACACAAAGACTTGATAAAGTGTAACTGAGCACAACTGTCTCACTTGTTAATAGGAGATCGTGTTAAAGGAAAATATATTCAGAACAGTCTGGACCAAAAAATAAATAGATTTCTTAGGGAGGAGGGTAAACGGATTTGAAATTAAAGGAAAATAACTGCTGCTAATACATAGCATTTCTTACTAATAAGGTTTGCATTATACCATTATTATTTCTGAACCCCCTTATCTGAAATTGTAAAGCTGCTGAGCTACAGCTGTAGCAGGCTGCACTGCTAGAGGCAGAAAACTGAGATTTGGAAAACGTTGCTTCCCTTCCAGGAAGATATTTCAATTCAAAATATGAGGAATAGCATTGAGTTCGAAGCTTTATACAGCAGCTTAACAAAGCCTTGTTTTTGTTTCGAAAACATGCAAATTGAACCGGACGAACATGTCCACCCCTTTGGAATGGGGGACGTTAGGCTTCTTTGTTAGCCTGCAATGCCCCATACCTGTCTATTTCTCTGAAAGGGGGTTCGTTAAAGGGAATTGTTGGTCTGGCTGAATAGGTGAGGTCTTCTGTTCGCCTGTACAGGGGTTGAAGTTGCCATGATAGCAGAAATGGCTCAACAATTCGCTTTAACAACACCCCTTTCAGAGACAGAGACAGGTATCGGGCATTGGTATGGCATAGAGCAAGTATGGGGCATTGCAGGCTGACAAAAGAAGCCAAATGACCCCCAAGAGGAGAACTGTTTGTGCATTTCAAGTTCAGACTGCTGCTGCTGCTGCTGGATGTGATGTAACGGTGAGGGAAACATTTTTTATGGACCCTTTGGAGTCCTTAGAAACAGCTGTCCAATTTTTAAACACAAAAGACCAGCTAATTCACAGCCTCGCAAAGCTTAAATATTCTCAAACAGGTTTTCCTAAACATAACAGGGGGTTCAATGTACCACAAGGGCCTTTACAGTTTCAACCCAATAGAACTGAACTTATTGGAACAAAATTAGTGCCTTAGAGAATGGGTTGCCAACCAGATGCTACCCTACATGTTGCAAAAGAAAGCAACACTGGATTTTGTGACTGATGCTGCTTATAAACTTTACTGTTCTTATCAAAATCTCATCTTCTGCCCAAAATTTAACAGCCATGTTTAGCTATTCTTTTAAGCAGATCTAAACAACTTTAAATCGGTTAATTTGGCTCCCCCCCACCCCCCACCCCCGTGAGGAAGGCAGCACATAATATTGCTAAATTCCTGATCTCCTGGTCACCAGCATTTGTATTGAACTAGATAAAAAAATAGTGATGAAGTGACTTTAATTGTGGTGAAAATAAGAAACTTTGGTTAGATCCCTCCAACTCGCTCGTTGCAGATGTGCTGACTAGTTAAGAGCCCTGAAACAGATAAATATAATATTACTTTTGATAATTTCACCATAAACACATTTAGATCCCAGCAGGAAGGAGCCATTGCCTGAATGTCAACCCTGCACCTTTCATGGATGTTCAGTCTCTCAGGGAAAGGAAATTGTAATCAGCAATTATGCTGCTATAGGCTTAGACTGCTTGGGGACATAGGGACCCCTTTCATCATTCTGCTTATTCTATCTCTATTTTCCCATTCTGCAGGCTCTGTTAGTTACATCTCTAAAGCTTTGCTATGTCTTATTTTTTCTCATAGTAGCTTCATCTGGTCTGTTCCTGTTTGGCTGTGACTCCATCCTGGAGAGAAATATCAGCTTTGCTGCTGTCATCAATACCTTTGTTTCTAGATGTTGAAACTTGGCCTGTTTTTCAGTGTAGTCCTGTTTCTCTGACTGTGACTAACTGGATGTGCTCTCTTCATCCTCTGACATGGGAGCTGACTCGGAGTTCGTCTGCCTGGCTGTGTGTTTCATTGACGGGGCCGTCTGTGCAGCTGGTTGACAGTTGCCTTTTGTATCTATGCTTCTGTCTCCTTGAATCCCAGTCCACCTCAGCAGATGGCCACTTACACTGCGCCTGGTTGCGCTAGAGATTTTTTCCTGTTCAAAGCGAGTTTTCTTCCCCACTGTTGCTAGAAGCATGTTTGGTGTGCGGGATTGCCTTCGAGTCAATAAGCCGATGCAAAAACTGGTTTACCTTGAAAAGAAAACTTTGAACTAGGGATGCACGATATAATCGGCCCCCTATCGGTATCGGCCTTAAAACTGAATATGGGACATCGGCCACCCCACCGATATTTGACCTGATATTTGATCAGCTTCTGAGTTTCTAAAGTCTAAAAAATAAAATAAAAAAATACTTCTTCTTCTTCCTCAAAACTTCTTTTTTACAGACTCAAAAACTTATTTAAAAAACTTATAAAAATATTGATCCATTAAAATATCCCAATATCTTCATATGCTGATATATTGCCATTTAAAAACACCATATCAATCTCTTTTACTAATGAAATATTGCTATATGTCATCATTATGCTACGAAATCCCCCGAAAATTCACAAAATGTTGCCATATTTTTATATGTTGATATATTGACGCAGTATCGATCTATTTTACTAACAAAATCTCACAAGAATTTGCAAAATATCACGAGTTTGTAACAGAACGATGAAATTTCACGAGATTTTGAAAGTAAAATAGATCGATACCGCGTTTTTAAAAATCAATTTGATATCAGCATATGAAAATATATTTGAGTATTTAATTTTTCAAAGTGTCAGAAATGGATAACAAAACTGCTATTTTCAATGACTACTTATTTTTGTCCAGCTTTAACATCGGTATCGATATCGGTGATCGGCTACATGAGTTTTAAAAGATCGGATATCGGCCAAAATCCCAATATCGTGCATCCCTATTTTGAACCAATCTGGCTGTGTGATCTGGTTGATTTGTCTCTGTAAATTGCCTTTAGATGACATGTGTTGTGAATTAGTGCTATATAAATAAACTGAATTGAGTTGACTTCCATCTGTATAACAAAGGGATGAATGGGGAAGGAGACGTATGCACATTTGTGTTTTTTTTGTGTTGCAGGGTTTCTGCCACCCTCCTCAAAGTTGCTTAGTGTCAGTAAAAGCAATACAGACCCCCTCGGCTCATCTCAGAGGTGTCATTCTACTAGTTGTAAGCTGACCTATAATCACACAAGTTGTTGAATTATTTTGTGAAGGTTGAAAGCTGCTTAGTGTTGGTTTAAAATGCTCTTTTGTATGGCGGTACTAAAACTTAGCATTATCTCAGGAATTCCCATTTTCCCTAAATGTGTAAAATGATAAATAATACCTGCTGTGACGGAATGGGCTTAGTTAATTATGCGTTGCTATATGGGCTCCAGTGTTTCAGTGAACATTCATCACCTCCCAGTTTAGAGGTTGATGATAATAACATGAATGGCAGAGCAATGAATCGTTCATATGGGCTCCCTTACCTCCGGTCAGGGTATTTGTGGTTCTCTGTCAGATGCTGAATAGATCTGTACTACATCTGACCTCATTTTAAATCACAATACATTATTAAACATAACACTATGATGAATATTAAGTACATGTTCAAGATTTAAATAGTACTAAGCCTGTGATGTCGGGGTTCCCCCTAATATTTAAACTTTATCAGTTAAAGTTGAATACAAAATACAACTGCACCAGTTCCATTATCCAACATATGTAAATTGGTCTGGACGTTCTTCTGATTCCTGTCAACTGAATTTACCAGAGTGTGATTTCATTTAATACATTAGTTTAGTGATGGTAAGAGTATTAATATTCATCAAGCACAGTGTTGCATCTGGGCTAATGGGAGCTTCCAGCTTGTGTTTACATTGGCAGCAGATTGGGGACCCTCAAATTTAATGGAGTGCTCTATTGACGCTTACTTACGTCCTGTGAAGTACAGACAGGAGGGAAAAGTAGATCCAGAGAGGATTCAGGAAATGATGAGCTTTCTTCTAACTGCTGCAAGCGGGTTGTTTAGGGATAGAGATAAAACAAGGTTGTAAAAAGAGCTGTTGGGTTTGCAGCCAGGAGCATATGGCTTTCTCAAACTAATTAACATCATGTGATGGAGCTGTCATCGCATTATTTCTTTTGCTATCGCAAACCCACACACTCACAGGCAGTTTTACTTACCGTCCCCTCAGGTTATTCTCTTTGTTTGTTTTAAAAAGACATTTATTAAATGTTGTATATTTAATCATTATCTCTGTATAATGCAGATTGGAGAAGATTAAATATTTGAATAGCCCAAAGGTTTGCACTCTTTTAACCCTTTAAAGCCCGATCCAAGAATAAAACAAAACAGAAAAATTACTTTTTATTGGTTTGAAGTCCTTATTTGGCCTTTTAACAAAATATGTAAAAAAATAAATAAATAAATAAATTTTTGATATTAATAATTTATTAATATGCGATAAGTCAAAATAATTTTTTGTGTAGTCTTCTAATGGCTGTTATCAGGTATATCTGATTGTGTAAAATAGGATTTTGAGCAAAGTTTTTACTATAAAATTATGCAAAAGGTGTCGGACGCAAAACATTTCGGAAACCGTATGTATCAAATACGATACATTTGGCATTATTTTTCTATTTATTTATTCGTTTATTTGATAGGGACAAGTATGTTTCATGCATCATGTCACACACTACAACATTTTAGCTAAGGCTAATTCTCAATGCCTGTCCTCAGTTAGGCTTTTACAGAAAACACAGTGACTGCGCACAAGAAACAACAGATTACAAGTTACATACTAAAACATCACAGAAACAAGATCAGGTCAGTTAGATTATTAATGTTCACATGTCTGACCTCTCAATAAAAAGTCTTTAAGTTTATGTTAAAAAAGGACCCAGTTTAAAGGGTTAAGATTCTTGTGCACTTATTACATTTAATAATTCACTGCTCACTCTACATGAATAATGTGTATGGTTGCATCTATATGAGTCAGATTTGAATTTTAAAAATTGTCATGATCTGGCCTGTTTGCTCCTCCCTAATTAGTAATTCCTCTCACCTGCCCTTTTCCCACCCTGCCTCAATTATAATTTATTCCTTTCACCTGTTCCCTCTGGAGAATATTCAGTTCAACCTGAGCATTCAGTGCCAGATCATTACTTGTCTTTCTGTCAGTCTTTCTGTTCTGTTTTATTTGGTTCATGTCCTGGATCCTAGCTGCCAGTGGAAAGAGGGTTTTAGTGTCTGTCTCATCTCCTGATTGTCCACTGTTCCTCCCCCGCGGAGTCCTCTGGGTTTTTGGCTCATTATGGGGGCAGGTTCAGTTTTTATCTAAGTACTGTAAGCCTGGCTCCAGGAGGAGACCAGTTTAAAGTCCTGCTTCAAGTTCCGGTTCCTACGTCCTGTCTCGGCTACCCTCTTCCACTGAGCCTGCATGTCTGCACCTGATCCTGTCTGCTCCTGTGCGTGACCACCTGGTCATGCTTCTGGTCCCAGTCAGACTCTGAACCCTCCTGGGAGCCTGTGGATGCCTGGAAGTCTGGAACCTGCCACCTGTTTCTGTTCCTGCCTGATCTGGATCCTGTCTGTTCTGGATCCCTCACCAGGATCAGCTTCCAGCATGCCCTCTGGGACTGCAGTACTGGGGACATTCGTGGTCTAGACTGTTAAACCAGGTAAGTGACCAACCCAGATAATCATAAATCAGATGATCGTGGTCACTTACCTTTGTTTTTTCCACTACAGAGTGTCTGAGATTGGGCGGTGCCCCCCCCCCCGCCTGAGTGTCCGCGAGCCACAGCTCCGCATTTGTTTTGTTTTATTTAATAAACGTTTGAACTTTCCTACTAACTGTCTCGCCTTGAATACTGGGTCCCATCTGTCCACGGTTCATGACAAAAATGACCATATTTCAGTAATTTAAGAAAGATAAAACCCATAAAATAAAATGATAGCATTTATGTCAGTCTATTTATGGCTTATAGCTAAAGAAAATCCAACTTTCAGTTCCTTTAAAATGCTAATTTTAGACCAATGGAAAAACAATATGCTTGAAATAGAATGTGAGCCTACTGACAGCTTGAGCGTGAGCGGTACAGTATGTGCACTCAGTACTTCATTTACATGAATTACTGCAGTAAGGAAGCATTGATCTGTTAAGTGTGAGGCTCTGCTGGGGTGGTTAGGAATCACAGGTAGTGTTAACAGCAGCCTGTCTGCATTGCTGCCTTTGGTGTCTTTCAGCTTCATCATTGTAAAAAAAAAACAAATGTTGAATATCTACAGGCAAATTAAAAACACCATCTCCAAACAGATTGTCCGTAGAGGAAGCATGAAGAGCTTTAAAATGTCTTGATAAATGACTCTGCTGTCTTTGGAGTTGATAAAAGTTAGCAGACTAAAAGCAGGAGAAGACTTGGACCCCAAATCATCGCTGACTGTGAATACAGACTGGAATTATCTTTTACCTTTATAAGATTTTGCAGACAAAACTACATAAGTTTTATCTCTCTAGAGATAAACTCAAGGATATTTCAAGTTTACCATTTTACTCTTTGTGTAACAAAGCCTTATGTGAGAATTAAATCAGGGAGACAATGATTTTTTAATGATATTCAAGCTTACTGGGATGTAACTACAGGTAAAAATGTTATCAAAGTGTGTTTACGCAGTCGAACCTTGCCAGTGGTGTTTGTAGTCGCACGTCCGAGACAGTGCGATCATCATGGCGCTGTAAAGAGGTAGAACCATGGCACAAAGGCGCCAGCTGCGACCACGGCCGCCATCTGTGAAACACTGCAATTTCCCCGCCAAGTAGAAGGAGGTGAAACCAAGTCCGGAGAAAGCAACTAGAAGCCAGAGATAGAAGCAAGCAGATTAGCATCACTGCTGAAGATTTTAATTAACAAAGTTGATCAAATATGGAGAAGTGTTAGCATGCTGATAATGATAATCATGTGTTTTTAGGTACATTTTTTTTTTTTAATATTTTACAATAGGTAACAGAGTGGTAGTTTTAAGTAACATCAACCAGAAGTAAATCTAGTAGCAGGTGAAATCCTTTTGAATCATTTAAAGGCAAGTTTCTACTATGCAATGTGTGAAAATCTGAAAAAAAAAAAAAAACATTTCAAGCATTGGCCAACACCTCTAGCCTCGTGAGACCATCTTGATCTCGCGAGCTTTCAAGGTTTCACTCGCAGATCAGTCTGGAGACTCTCCGTTTAAGAAAATTTGGAGCCGTTCACCAAATGAACGTCCAATCAGCGTTGGCTTTGAGGCGGGTTGAGGTTTGACGCAACGAGAAGCGCGACAGTTCAGTCTAAAGAACATGGCGGCTTCAGCCGATGAAACTAGCGTTAGCGTGGCTATCGAGCAAGTTTTATCGGAATTACAGGGTATTTCTTCACTGAAAGAAGAGAATGAAAAGATGTTTTTGCTCTTCTCCCAACTGGTTTCGGCAAGAGTAGCCTGGCTTGTGGTTGTGTTTTCGTCGTCGCTCTGTTAGTACATCATATGCTTCATTGATCTGATTGGTTTATTTGGCCCGTCTATCACCAACATAGGCCAATCAGCTAACCAGTATTTTTGCCCCTTCCCAAAATTACTTCAACAGAAGGTTGGCAGAGTCAGGTTACAACACCTCACCCCAAACGTGGGTCCTATTCAGACGTTCCACAGCTCCCAGCTAATTGAGCATGAATGGGCTGCAGGCCTCCACATTTAGCATCTGTTGGAAAGTATAACAGGAGTAGTGGTGGTCTAAATATACGGATTAAAGGTTGTACTGTATAGTGGAACGGTGTGATTCATGGCTTAGACAATGCTATTTGCTGCTGCTGCTGCAGACCAGACGGTGTGAGAAATTTGTCACTCAACTAATAAGCTGATCACAACCATATGCCAGGACCAGTGAGCACTCCGAAGGGGGAGAGATTGGCCAGACCATGTGGAAACACAATCAGACTGTCTCAAGGACCCTTCTGGTGTCGGATAGTTGGCTCCCTTAAAACTCCTGTTTTGTTTTCTGACTAAGCTCCTCAACAGACGATTTTCAGATTTTCAGTAAGATAGGTCAATTATGCAATATTGTTTGATGTCAAATGTCAGTAAAATAGGTGATTTAGTCAACTAAGCCTGAGTATTTTATTTATACCCTTTTTTTCTTTATTGTCACATTCCAACTACAAGCTTCAATCTCTTCTATTGGGAATTTAGACGAATGGAGGGTGATGCCTCTTAACCAAAGAACAGCGGATAGACACCAGCTTTCCCATAACCATCAAGGACATGCAAGTATCGAAAATGAATAAATGAATGAATGAAAAGTCAAATTTTATTGTTTTACGGTGAGAGACGTGGTGGTTTTATTCCATTCAACCTCAGTTAATCCCTTTTTAGTAAATACACCCTTTTTGTATCTTAATCTCTGACTATATAAAATAACAATAGAAAGAAACTTTTCATTGATACATTTTTTTTTCTAAACCATAAAAAAGGGGGAAAGTATTTCCCGTTTACATTTTCTTGAAACGTAAATGGAACCTATTAGTATCGGAGGGAGAAACTTAAAGGAAGTGGGATGCTAAGGGCAGCGGCTTTTATGGCAGCAAGGTTTTGGACACTGCGTCCCTTTTGGATGGGCTCTACCGAAACTGAATTTCCCTTTAGGGATTAATAAAGTACAATTGCATTAAACTGCATTAAAGCAATGGCTACAGCAATATATATATTATTTTTGTTTCCTGCTTCTTCCCAGCAAACATTGAAAGCTAAGACAATGTCTCCTAAGTATCGCCTATAACGATCCGATTGATGTGAAACACATTTTCAGCTGCTTCCAAAAAGTGCTTTTTGATGAGGTTGCTTAAGCCCAGGTGGAGGTTTGTCAGCAGTCGCCATGGTAAGTGCTATCTGAATAGAGCGGGCAGTAAAAATGGAGGCCGAAAGAGGAAATGTGACACTTCCTATCACCGTTTCATTTAGCATGAGGATCTGTTGGTGTTCCTATCTGCACCATCGGAGCCATATGGTTGCCCACAATCATTTGCATGAAAGGGTATACAGTCTACTTCATGAAGTATAACAAAATATGTTACTTATTTATACATAGAAATATACATACTTTCCTATGTTTTGAGTTTTATAATGGTAAAAAACCTTCAGCCACTTACTCCATTTGTGTAATTGGTGTTTTTTGTAGTCCTTTTTGCAAAGTCTGTAGTCTCAATATGAAAAGCAATATCCATGTGGGTCCATTTGGTATTGACGTCCATTAGACCAAAGGCTGTACTGATTCAGCACTGCAGTCCTGAGTTTCTATCCTACCCTGTATAGTGTTCTAACTATTGAAGCCTCAAAAGGTTACAGGATAGGAGGTAGGAGCTACAATTTGATGTATTTTGGTTTCAATCAGTTATGCCACAAACATCAGGAACAAGTTGGTGGATATTTTCATGGCTACATTCAGCTGAAGTTGTTTGATAAGTACATCACAATAGTACTTAATCCGTAAGCAGCGGTCTCAAATCAAAATACGAGTTGGCCAGTGTCCTGCGACTTTCAGGTGTAATCCTTCCGTAAAAATTCAAAAGTATACACTGGACTTGGTTTTCAAGATTTGAAGACGTTTCGCCACCTTTCCAGGAAGCTTTCTCAATTCAAATGTCTGGATCCGCCGTGAGTTTGAGTCTTATATGGACAAGGTCTTGTATTGCTTGGAAACATGCAATGGTAACCGATGAATGGGTCGTTTAGTTCCATCGTTAGCCTGTAATATCTGAACCTGTCTATTGTCTTGGAGAGGTGGCGAAACGTCTTCAAATCTTGAAAACCAAGTCCAGTGGATATTTTTGAATTTTTACGGAATGACTATGACCTGGATGACTGAGAAACTTCATCAGCAGGTGTAATCCTTGCTCTACACACCTGATCAAATGGCTAAGTTATGTCATAGCAACAGTCCAGCTCTGCAGAGTTCTGGCATATTGCAGTTGGGTGTGTTAAAATTGAGACACATCTAAACATTGCAGGACAGCAGCCCTGCTGGACCGGAGTTTGAGGCTACTGATTCATTTTAGCTGCCTATGCAGTTTTAGAGTAATTTTTTTTTCAAGATCGGAGACTACCGAGGTCTGACTAAGCTCCTCAACAGAAGTAAGTAAATATAAATAAGAAGTAAATATAAATGTGAGCCACAACTTATTTTAGAAGACATGATGTAGACAATTAATCTTTTCATAGATCGGCCAACGTAATAGGGCAGAAACGAAGGGGAAATGTTGCTTAGAATAAAAAAAATGTGATCAATATAGAGGATAAATAAGTCTTTAGACTTAGACAACTTAGATTAGATTAGATTAGATGAGCTTTATTGATCTCACAGCGGAGAAATTCACTGGTCACATATTAGAGGAAAAAGGTGCATTAAGAATAAACAATATATATACAGTATATTAAGATAAATAAGGATTAAGGAGCAAGTGTACATACATGTAACCCCAACAATGAAAAACAAAATAAAAATAAGTATACACAGATTGTATATAAAACGAAATTTTGCATTGTACAGCTTCCACACAGTGAATTAACATTTCCATTCCATAAAGTGCAGCAGTGATCAAATGTAATTTTCTGGATTTCTTATTTTTAGATTCGCTTTTTCACAGTGGAAATGCACCAATGATGACAATTTCATTCCCCTCCATGATTTCTAAGTGGGAGATCTTGCAAAATAGCTGGGTGTTCAAATACTTTTCCTCACTGTATTTTCTTCACTGTAAAAAAAAAATAAAAAAATAAGTATATATATATATTTTTAGCTAAAACATTTTAAGCGATATCCAAACTAACTTTAACAAATTCCTAACAAATACGGAATAAATAGCTTCAAAAACAACAATAATAATAAAGGTTGTCGATAATCAGTTTTTGTTCTTTGATGAGAAGACAGCATTTTGTTGAGAGCGTCACTAGTTTCCCTGATCACACAGCCTCTTCTAATCATTTATCTATCTCCTACCAGCCAACAGCCGGGGCAACATGGGGATTCATGTTTTGGCCATTTCTTCTGTACATGTGGTGAAACTACTTAAATGAAAGTAAAATATTACAACTGAAAGTATTAAATTCTTCCTTTAGAAAAGAACTAAACATGAGTTTTGAAAACCACAATCCTCCAGAGTTGGAATAATATGATAGTTAAAATAGAAATTAAAGTCCAATTAGACATAGAATTAATTCACACTTTGCAGAATAGAGGATGCTAGACACTTCCCACACAGATTATCTGATCATTTTTAGATAAAACGCTTTAGTTTTCTCAGCCTAAACTTCCCAGACTAAACATCCCTTGGTAGCCATCTATTTCAGGGACTCCTTCACACTTTAAACCACACAGCAGCCCACACTATTAGTCTTTATAACTCTAAGCAAAGCTCATTTGTTTCCATTTTCCAGACTGAACATTTTAGCTCTGGACTAACACTAATAAAAGAAAAATTACATGCATAAACTACATACATAATTACATTTAGATTTTTCAGAATTTCCAAAGTATGACATTTTGTTTGTTTGTTTTTTTACAAAACTAAATCTAAACATTGGTTAATACTTATATTTACAGAAGGCGCCATATAATTGTATCATACTTTTTGTGAAGCTGTTATCAGGAAACCTTAGTTCAACAAAAGTTAAGTTACAAGCTAAAACATTACAAATGTTTTTTTGAACAAATGAGGCTTGATTAAAACAAATGTTCCTCATTATTTGCATGCTGTCACTCCCTTGACATTTCACCAACAATTTGCGTGGCCAACATGACCTGGCCTGGATTTTACTGACTGCATCA